GTGGCCACTTACGCCCAGAATTTCAAGGACGCTCCACGCGCCAGCGTCACGACGCGCGGAAATCAACGAGAGGGTCGCCACTTACGNNACGTCCAGAATTTCGAGGACGCTCCGCCAGCCGATCGACCGACCGACCGACCGTATCCCTTCTACACAAAAGGAAAGGAGAGCGTGGCTGACCAGAGCCTTACAGCCACGCCTAGGATGAAAAACACGGGGCCCCTGTATGTTGCCGAAGAAGAATACCATAATGCTTGGAAAGCCACAAAACAGAGCAAGCAGAGTATGGAGCATGAAGCTGCATTTTCTCATGTTCATCCTCATGGAGGCGGGCTGCGCCCCCCTGTGGCCCCGCTAGTCTGTAGCAGCCAACACCATGCCTGGGAAATCTTATCAGTACTTAGGAAGGACCCACCTGGCCTGCGCCCCCCCCGCCAACAAAAAGCGACCAGGCAAAGGCCAAAGCTTCGGGACACGAGCCGGCCGCTTGCCGTGGAAGGCATCGACGATTCAGGTCTCACAGATGCAGGCCTTGAGGAGATCGAGATGCCGGACCCCGCTCACAGCCCTTGTCTGAGGAGCGCCATACCTCCAATGAACCCATGCCAGAGGTTGGGGGAACGAAGGGCTGCGCAGCTGGGCGGCTTGAGAGTGTGAGAGCGAGTACCTGGAAATTTTGAAGCGGTGTGGGATCGGCACCAGGCACCCCAGGGAGAGAGCCAGCTTGCCGGGGGCGTGGCATGCCTAGACCGGATGCGACGAGGCCGCGCTCGAAGGCCAAAAACACCCCAACTTCCGCTGCCTGTCGGCTCGCGGCTCGCGGCAGGTGGCGGCGACAACCAATCGGCAACTGCGATGGCAATGATGAGGCGGCCAACTCGCCCGAGGAGATCTTATTCGATGGCGACCTTACTGAGATGCCTGCCGATGATGAGACTCAAGGGTAATGCAAGCAGGGTTAACCCATGCAAGACCCCAGAGGGACTGCTGTTCCCTTCGGAATCAGTTCAGGATGGAGTGAGGGAGGGAGACTGCGAAGTGCTGGCGGCAACAAGTCAGCACGTTCAAGAAACAAAGAACCTGTGCAGTCATAGGGTCCTTTCATGCACACAAACTGCTGTTCCAATAGCTTGCTGCCTGTATCTGTTAGCTTGTCTTCGGTGCACTGCCTGCTTGCGTGGCATGTGCCTGCTTCTTGTTTGCTCTGTCTTAAGGGTGGGCGATCCCCCCTTCAGAAGGCGAGCGCGAACCTTTTGCACTTGTCCTAAGCCCTCACAGTTTTGCCTGTGGCCCCCGAAACTACTTGCAGCTCTGCTGCCCGCTTTAAGTTAAGAGCTTTGCACATAGAGTCTCACTTAAAAGTGCCACCGTTCGCTTCCGCAGCAAAACAGGGCTTCGGTCTAGCTTGCGACTTTGCTTGACCCTCCAGAGCCTTGTTCGCGCGCAACCGGAAGCAGTTTCAGGACTGCCAAAGTACTGGCAGGCGCAGTACTTTCATTCATTTTTCCCTAGAGAGGCCTCAAGTACTGGTGCGGCAGCATTTCGCGCCTGTGCCTATTTTCTGTGTTTGCAGAATCCTCTTGGGCCCATGTTGGTTTGCACCATGCTTGCCTGCAGACCTCCGGGCCTCAAAGCACTTTTTGGAGACAGACTCCCTAGAGTTGGCCATGGAGCGGGACTGGCAACCAAACCTGGCTGCAGAGAGCAGAGGATGCATGCCGAAAGAAGACTAATGCCCTAGGGATAGTAACGTCCATTATTTCATCTACGCCCCATTAGTCCAAGGTTCGTCCCATCAGTCCAAGCTAAGCCCCATTCGTCCAAGCATCCATGCCGAAACCATAATCCGGTTGGGTTCCAAGAGCATACGGTGAGCAGAGGGTCCATGCCCAAACCACGATCCCATTCGTGTTCCGAGAGCATATTATGGTGACCAGAGCATCCATGCCCAAACATCGCCCTGGCAGGCCCTGGCCTGCGCAGTGTCTTGGACGCAGTGCACGTACCGTGAGGACCGAGCTGGGAAAGTCGGCTGCCACCCCGCGTACTTCGCGGACGTGGTCAAGGACAGCACGTGGCTCTTTGCCTGAGAGAACATGGCGCATTTTTTTCTCCGCTGACAGGACCGATGATTCCTGCACATTTGCTCACGCGCACGAAAAGCGCCCTGGGCCGATTTAAAGGGTGGGGTCACGTTGTCATAACTCTAAGAACCCCCCCCCTTTTTTAAGACTCAGGTGCCTTTGGACGCACAAGTGCTACGCCCATTGCATAAAAAGAGTGAGCTGAGCGCTGTGCTGCTAATGTGGTAGCGTTGCTTTGCGTAGTTCTGGCAAGCGCACGAGTTGCCCGCAAAACCTTCAATGCAGTTCCGCCCAAATTCTCCCCGCCATTCCCACTTTCGGCTCTAAAATCCTGTTTGCACTTCAGCCAGATTTTGACTAAATAGAAACACATCAAAGGAGAATGGAGAAAAGAATAGCTTCCCAAAGTAAACCGCTCTCCGTCTCTGATGCGATTGGTCACATGGTCACAGATTGCGCCAAGTTTGCTAAGGCCCGAGCTGAGTTTCGGCGCTCTTCCTTGGGCTCGCTGCGCTTGTCAGCAGAGAGCTGCAGGGCTTGACCAAGTGCTTCGTCCAAGGGCACGTCCGAGACCTCTGACTCAAGAGAACGCACACAAGTATGACTTGGATCTTCGTTCCCTGAACTACGTGCGAAAGCATGAGCGGGCAAATGAGTCCTGTCAGAGTGCTTGTGGCTAGGAGGTCCAGCGCAAGGAAATGCAGAAGACAACCAACAACGCGTTTTGTGCAACTACTAGGAGCAGCATTGCCGAAGCAGTGGAAAGCACACGAACACAACATGACAGTGAATCTCCAAAGGCATCTGGGTTGCTATCAAGAGCCTCCCAAGCTCTTTTTGATCAAGCTATTCAGTTTGTGTCGCAACATGGTCGTGCGGTCTGCCCAGGATTGGAGGTTGTTCAATGGCTTTGACTAGCTGCTAGCTAGCTCCAGGCTGAATTTATTTGAAGCGCATGCAGATGCTTGCTGCTCAATTGAAATCATCTGGATAGGATTTCAGTCAACGGGTCACTGTACGGGGCACACGTTTGGCCTGTTGTGCGGGGTTTGCTTTTCTCCTGCATGTTGACGACCTGACTTTTGGTCCAGACCATCCGACCTTTCCGTGGCACACCTTTCCGTGGTACGTGGCTCAAACAGCAGTGTGTCTCTGCGCCGCTGCGCCTGTGAATTTCCCATGTGATCTGGATCTGGAGTCAGAGTCTGTATAGGCACTGCGCTACAGGCTGCGGCCATGTCGTCAAGAAGCAAGTTCTACCATTCCCTGTCAGTTGCCTGTCGAGGCCGGGGGGCGGTCTACCTCACCCTGTGTGCCGGGGTTTTCTTCTCATTCCTTCGCCTGACTAGGCTGGGGGGCGGCATGGCCGCACCCTGTACGCCGAGGCTTTCTTCCTTCCATTCTTTCTTACTCCGCCCGGCGAGGCCGGGGGGGCGGCATGGCCGCACCCTGTGTTCCGGGGCTTTCTTTCTCAATTATTGCTTTTGCAGCAAGCTGAAGCCACAAGGACTAGAGCTCATCGTTTCCGCATATGGCATAATCCTTTCCCCCTAATATGAAAAGGCTCTCCCCCCTCCCCCCCCCAATATAAATTCTCTGAACCGTATTTAACATAGGGGGGGTATTTATCGTACGACCCGAACAGTAGGGTGGTATATATGGTATATAATGAGGTCCTATTGAAATCTGGTTAAATCGTATGCAATTTGATTAAATCCAATACAGGACAATTTCCAAAATTTGCGCTTTATTGGGGACTATTTCAAATTACAGCCTTATTAGGGGCTATTTCGAATTAGGGCTATATTAGAGACTATTCCAAATTAGCGCCTTATTAGGATCTATGTGAAATTAGGACCTTGTTAGGGACTATTCCAAATTAATGCCTTACTAGGGACGATTCCAAATTAGGGCCTTGGAATCTGTTTCTGGACTTGTTTACACATTTTCCTGTATAAAGACCATTCAACAACAATCAAAATCTAGGAAATCAAGGAGATCCCTAGTTCTTACGTGTCGTACTGAAAACCACCCCAATTCAAAGGATCCGAGCCGCAATTAACTTTAGTCTTGACCCTTGTAAAAGTAGTCTTGGGGGCAGATTTCAAAATTTGAAATCCTGGCAAAAGCGTATTTAATATTAGGGAAGGATTGACTATTTGGGGGAAGCGATTATGGTGTATGCTCCCAGGTCGGACACAGCTGTACCACAACACTGGAGAAAGGGAGACTTGACTGGCTGGTGCAAGCTCGGAATGCCCACTTCATAGTGTTCGGGCTGCCACTCTTCTTAGTCTTGGTGTGGTCAGTGCTTCAGTTTTGTTTTTTCGGCAAGCTTCCATGCAACGGAACATCAAGAAGGCAACGATGAAGCCAAGAACCTCTCCTGTGCCGAGAGAAAATATTTCAACCAGCTAGGCTGTCGGCGCTTTGCATCTCCTTGACAGCCTTGACATCTCATGCAGCGCAGACTTGGGAGACCCCTCTGCACGGGGCCAGTGGGATTCGGCTGTTGCTTTAGTGCTGGATAACGACCAGTGCAGGGGTTTGCACCATGTTTTGCTCAGAACAAAAGCCTTGCGAAGTTGCAACACTAACTGTCCAGGGATTATCTGCGGCTCTGAGATCTCCATTCGATGCCGTTCTCTTTCAGAGGTATGTAGGCTCAAAGTCTCCGACAAGCTCTCCACTGTGGCTGTGCCATACAGCCTTGTCTTGACTCTTCAGGGCTTTAGGAGGCTCCGCCCTTTACCACCAAATTAGGAGATGCTTCCATGCTTCCATGCAGCTGGAAGCAGCAAAGCAGCAGGACCAACGCAACACGTTCAGTTGAGGCAGTCATGTTCTCTCAGGCTCTGATACCCGGAAGACGCCACCAGCACAGCCAGCACAGCGCATGTCTCAAACAAGCCTCGCCTCGACCGCCATGCCTTCATCGTCCGCGTCGGGTCCCCGCAAAACCTCCATGGAGTACAGCAGCAGCTCCCGGCTTGTGAGCGCCTCGTCGAAGACGAGACTTTTTCACTCAAATCACCCTGGCGAGATCTTACAATCTATCTTACTTGCAACTCCCTCTCTCTCTCTCTTCCCTCTCTTCCGGCCGGCTGCAGCGCGCGGACCAGGAGCACGCGATGGAAGCCCACCAGCCTGAGCTTCAGAAAAGCTCCAAAGCGCTCCCTCTTCGTCTTCGAGGTCTTTCCAGGATGCGGCTCAGCAGCTCGCTCCATGGCGCGGGATAGCTTGCAGTTGCGGAGGATTCAGAGGAAGGAGCCTGCAAGACCTGAACCAAAACTACTCATCTACTCACTTTGAACTCAAATGAAAACCAGATAGGAGCCACGAACCCGAATGCAGACACGTGACACGTGCATGCAATGATAATGACACCCCACGAGCGAAACCACTTAAGAGACTTAGGTCCTGGGTCATCCTTTCTCCTCTTTCTCCTCCTCTCTCTTGTCTCTTCTCTCCTCTCCTCTCCTCTCCTCTCCTCTCATCTCTCTCCCCTCTCCTCTCTCTCTTCTCTTCTCTTCTCTTCTCTCTCCTGTCCTGTCTCTTCTCTCCTCTCCTCTCCTCTCCTCTCTCTTCTCTCTTCTCTCCTCTCTCTTCTCTCCTTTCTCCTCTCTCTTCTCTCCTCTCTGCTCTCTCCTCGCCTCTCTCTCTTCCCTGCTGTTTT